GGCAGTGCCTCCAGACAGTCTCTGGATTTTTGATGAATTCCATTTCTAAATCTGTGTTGAAGTTGAATTTGTACGTTAAGTTGGAACAGGAACACCAGTTTGTCAAATGTCTTAGTGTATCGTGTACTTTCCTATACATAAAAACACAAAAGAAGCACTTCCAGACACACTAAGACACCTTCAACAGTAATAACATCAATAAAATAATGTTTTAATGCGCACGGCAAAGTAGCATCCCTTTGTTATCACAAACTATTTATTGACCTCAAAGATTTAATACAAAATGTGTTTTTTTTGACCTTGTGGTTAACAGTCCACAACAGGCTTTATATAACAACAGGCTTTACGGGGGAGTTGCTTCATAACTCCAGGTGGTTAAGTCCATCAGACATTCATTGTAACCTGGACATTGGCTGCACACAAAAGAACTGAAAATAGGTACTCAAAAAATACTGGTACACATTTAATTCACAAGAACCAAAAGGTGGAATCAACTCAAATGGCCATCAACCAAGTGAATGGATGAAGAAATTGAGGTTATGTTATACAATGGAATACTATTCAGCTATGAAAAAGGAATGAGGTATGGGTACATACTACTACAAGGATGAAGCTCAAAACCATGCTAAATACAAGAAGTTGGGCACAAAAGCACACAGAATGTAGGATTCCATTTATAAGAAATATCCAGAATACATAAAACATACTAATGGTTGCCAGGGGTTAGTATGGGAAGACTGCGGAGTAATTGTTACTAAGTATGGTGTTCCCTTTTGGGAGTATGAGAATGCTTTGAAGCTAAAGCACGGTGATGGTTGTACAAAATTGTGAATGCCATTGAATTGTTCACTTATAAATGGTTGCCACACAAACCCCCTTCCAAGACTAAGATTCAAGGGCATGCAGTCTGACTGGTGACCACATTGGTCACCAATAAGGAGAAGTGAGGGGAAAACAGCAATAAAGCTGTAAGCTAAGTCCGACCACGTTCAATAGACTCCTGTGAACCCGGGTGGAGACCTGGTTGGCCAGCAGTGTGGTAAGACCTGGGGACTCCTGGGCCCAGAGACAGTGACATAGCCACAGAGGACTAGAGTGGAGAGTGAAGCATCCAGCTGATAAGAAGAGAGGGCATATACACAAGAACATTCACACTTGCAGATAATACCCACTTGACCTGGCTTCAATGTCTGGATGATCAGAGCTCAACTAGAAAAAGAAATAAGAGGAAAAAAAGAGTAATCTGATACAATTTGATGAACGTGACCTACACCTATGGATGCAGTAACTCAAAAGAGGGAAGAAATCTTTACAGCAAGGATCATTCCCACCCCCTCGGTACACAGAGTAGACAGGGATGGGCAACTTGGACATTGGCTATCCAAAATGGGGGGGTTACAAAGGCAAGAAGTGACTGGCTTACAAGCTTTCAAGAGGGAGCCCAGATCCAGAGGGTGTGGAGGAAGGTAGAATCTCCACTGAGTAGTATCCAATCTGTCTGGGTGGGGCCAATGAAAGGAGATGGATGGGGATAGGATTCTTATGATACAATAGTGAATAACTGCTATCAGGACTGACTGTGAGGGTTGGAAATATAAAGGTAGACGTTTTGTTAGCAAAAGGAGGGGAATGGTTGACTTTACAGTTAAGGAGCGGAGGTCCCTCGGACCCTACCCAGAGAAGCGGTGACACCAGAGATGGAGGCAGAGATGATGATGTGGAGAGATGGAGCGCTGGGGATTCTAGACACAGAGAGGGAGAGGGGCTGTGTGCTGACGACCAGGGGGCAGGCTTGTGAGGATATCCTTTGGTTGGTTGTTAATGCATGGAGGGGACTGTAAGCATGGCAATGAAAGGATTTACAATAGGATGAATGTAAAGCTAATGTTCTCCCATGTAAACTATCACATAATTCACACACACACACACACACACAAAAGTGTGTTACAAAAGAACAAATCCTGTATGATCTCATTTATGTGAAACAAACAAATATATAGAAACCAAAGGTTATTAAGGGTTACCAGGGGTTGGAGGGAGGTGGAGAGTTTTGGTTTTCAGAGTATTGAGCTTATATTAATGTTGTTGTTATTAAGTGCCTTTGAGTCGATTGTGACTCATAGTGACCATGTACAGGGTTTCCCGAGGAGCAGCTGGTGAGTTTGAACCTCCAACCTTGCAGCTTAAACTGACCTTATGGCCCAGTGCTTTATTCTATTGTGTCATGGTGGTGGTGGTTATGTGCCGTGGAGTCGGTTCAAACTCATAGCGACCCTGTACAGGGTTTCTGAGACTGTAAATCTCTAAGGGAGCAGAAAGCGTCATCTTTCTCCCGCGGAATGGCTGGCAGTTTCGAACTGTTGACCTTGCGGCTCACAGCCCGATTTGTAACATAGTGGTGGAATATTTGTCAATAATGGTGGAACACCATGGAAAATGTAATCAATGTTATTGAATTTTAAAAGTGCAAGTCTTACTGGTGAATGTTTTGGTGTGAATATAGGCACGGTAATAATAATTTTTAAAAAGGTAAATTTTTTATGTGAGCTTCACCTCAACGAAAGAAAAAATACATATCACTCTAAACTACTGTCCAGAAAGTGAAGGTGAGTAAAGAGAGAATCTGGGTGTGAAAAGAGATGCAGTGTGTTGTGGTTTCCCCAATTCTTCAGAAGAAGCAAAGAGTTGACAACCAACAGATCTCTTGAGCAGTAATTTTCATCACTTGCCAACGATTAAAGATGTCTGTCTCTCTCTCTATTTATTATACTTAGCACCGATAAACAGTGCCCATTCCTCCAAAGACTTTTTTGGTCTACCTTAGTCTCCCCATGAGACGGGGGAAAAGGAGGAGCCCAGAAATCAGGATTAAACATGAGACACTTATTGACTGAAATCTTGTGACCGAAATCCTGAGGAATGTGGAAGCCTGCTCCCCTCCTTGCTTGAGTTATTGTAAAAACTGAGCAGCCAAATCCCATTCAGAAAAACCACCCATTAAAATTCTGTAATTTTATGGGTGGTCTTTCTTAATGGGACATTCCATTAAGTAAGACCATTCATGAAAATTCCTTGTTTTATGGGACTTGCCATTAAGGAAGACCATTCATAAAAACTGTATTTTTACTTCCTTGTGAGACGTTTTGCATGTTGGACTGGTTCACGGAGTACCATAGGCCTAACTCAAAAGGACAAAACTTCTTCTGGGCTAAGCAGAATGCCATTCCCGGGGAGGAGTCTGAATTAGGGTCCTGAACCACACATGCTCAACATCCTAAACTAAGTTCTGTCTGCTCCTACCAGAGGTCTTTAAGTTAAATCCATCTCGATGAAATGCGGCAATTGCACCCAATTAGCATGACCCCTTCTAGATGGCCCAGTTTGCAGAAATCCCTCTCTCTCTCTATGAATAAACATGATGTCTTTTCCCTACCCCAAACCTTTAAAACCCCAGCAAAGTCTTTGTTCCGGGAGAAGCGGGCTAAGGATTGTTAAGCCTTTCCTTCCCCATCTGCTTGCAAGCCTCTTTTCTATAATAAATTTATGCCCGGATAGAAACTGCTTCACCTGACAATACGGCGTGACCCTGCTCTTGAAGGGTGGAGATATTGTTAGCATTCTCTGTAACACCCAGAAGGGGGTCACTTGCTTCAAAATCTTCTGTTGTTCTGAGGGTACATAGGGCCTTGGAGGTGAAGTGACACAGGGCTGGCCATGGAATGAAGTAACATCTAATATTTACTGAGAGATCTATGTAACAAGCACTGAGGTAAGCACTGGCCAGGCATTGCACTCTCTCATTTAAAGTAACACCACAATGACTTAGAACTATTATTTCAATTTTAGAGAAGAGAAAAATGGAGGCTCAGCAAGGTGGCTGCCGGGACCACACACTCTTCTTCTCTTGCAGTATTTTTCAAATGTTTGTGAATTACGTGATAGTTTACATGGGAGAACATTAGCTTTACATTCATACTATCGTATATCATTTCATGGCCATGGTTACAATCCTCTCCACGCATCATCAACCAACCAAAGGGTATACCCTGCAAGCCTGTGCTGTCGCCGCCCCCACCCCCACCCCTGGTCCTCAGCATACAGCTCCTCTCCCTCTCTAGGTCTAGAGCTCCCAGTCGCTCTGCCCAGTCATCGTCTCTGCCCGCACTCTTCTCCCTTGATGGTCCCAGGGACCTCCGCTCCTGGACTGCAAAGTCAATCACTCCTCTTATCTTGCAGTCTTGGTTGTCATTTTCTTACCCTGAACTACGTCACTCTTTTTACCAGCCAGGCCCTATAGTTTGAAACTCTTGGGGTCACGCACCCTCTGATGACATATTAAGAAAAGGTAAGCACTCAAGGGCAGGCCTCAGCCCACTCAGTTCCCAATAGCGCTCTAAGAGCGTGGCGGCCACATCACCCCCCAACTTACAGAAAAGAGAACGTCTGGTGATGATTCTAAGGTGCAAAGGGAGACAGGGTTGGACGTGGAATCTGAAGCCATACTCCTATGAAACGACCTTTGCCCGCCCCAGTTGAGCCTTCTTTATACGACAATCCCACAGCTCACGCAAAGGACCATGCTTTGTCACTCGCGGTCTACCCAAGTTGTATCGCCCAAGAATCTCCACGAGGCGCACTCTGCAAAAACTGCAAGGATGTGCTTCCAAAGGACCCAGCCACTTCCATATTAGTTGTCTTAAACTTTGCCTAAGAAGCATGCGCCACTATGGCACTTTTTTTTTAATCCCTTTCCTTTACCAGCAATTCAGAGTATGCCTGGAGGTCTTCCAGAAAAACATGCTTCTAGGACTTTTAGTGTTTCCAGATGCCACAGGCACTCATAGGGAAAAAAAGAACTCTCAGGGGGTCCTTCACTGCAGGCTTCGCTGGCTTCGGACAATGGGCAAAGGCGGTGGCCAATCAGCTCCGCTACATAGCAGAGGGGCAGGGCTAGTCCTTAAAGGAGACGGGACCAGATTACAGACCCGAGGGTGACCCGGATGATGGCGGCCGGCGCGGCCCTAACCCTGGCCCTGTGGCTACTACTACCGCCAGTAGGGGTTGGATGGGCAGGGCCCCCGGCGATTCAGGACGGTGAGTTCACGTTCCTGTTGCCTGCAGGGAGGAAGCAATGTTTCTACCAGTCCGCGCCGGCTAACGCAAGCCTCGAGACCGAGTACCAGGTAGAGGGTCCGAATCTTTGGAATGAGTGGAATAATGGATCTGGGGCGTGGCTAAAATGCTGAGTGGAGACAAGAATTAGAGAGGGAGGAGCCCGGATATGGGCGTGACCAGGGAGTAAGAGTTGGTGGGGGGGGAAGGGCAGTGCATGGAAGTGGAACGGGTAAGAGTAATGAAAAAAGGTGGGGTTAGTGCCAGGGGAGGGTGGAGCCAATGAATGGTCACTGGAGAAGGCGGTGCCTACGAAGTGTGGAAGCCTTTCAGAGGGTAGGACCTTCCACAGTGCACATGGTCAAAGGGGGTGGGCCTAGTGAGGGATGGGGTGGATAGGTGCGGCCAGGATGCTGATAGGAAGGCTAGGAGGGCGTGATCAGCATGAGCCGTGTAGTCACGTTGGGGTGTGGACAGGCAAATGTCAATCAAGGCCTTTAGTTAGGGGTGTGGCCAGATGAAAGAAAAAACCCAACAGTTGTTCGTTCTCAGTCCACCTTAACTCATGGTGACCTCGTGTGTGCCGGAGTAGAACTGTGCTCCATAGCGGTTTCAATGGTGGATTTTTCAGAAAGAGGTGGACTGCATCCAGAATCCATTTGGTGAGCAGCAGTGTAAGTTTTAACTACGTAGGGAGGAAAGAACCCACAAACTATCCTCAGTGGATTCAAGGGAAGAAAGGTAGCCATTGGGCTAGTTGGGACCTTACAAGAGCAGGTGTCTGCACTAGGTCTGCCCCCCGTGGTCTGTACTGTCTGGGCTGATTGGCCCGGGCCTGACCTTTGTGTGTGTATGTGCTCTAGATTCACCCTCAGCCCCCCACCTACTTTTACCTGACCTCCAGGTGATCGGTGGTGCTGGGCTGGATGTGGACTTCTCCCTGGAGAGCCCTCAGGGCGTGCTGCTGGTCAGCGAGTCCCGCAAGGCAGATGGGGTACACACGTGAGTGGAGTCCTGGGGCCTGTTTGGGTTCAGTTACAGCCCTGCCCTCCCTGGTGGCCTCAGGTTACCACCTTGTCTGCCCTGGAGTCATGTTGGTTAATGTGTCTTTGTGCAGGGTAGAGCCCACAGAGGCTGGTGACTACAGGTTGTGCTTTGACAACTCCTTCAGCACCATCTCTGAGAAGCTGGTGTTCTTTGAACTCATCTTTGACAGTCTGCAGGATGATGAGGAGGTGGAAGGCTGGGCTGAGGCCTTGGGCTGGGCTGAGGCTGCAGAGCCGGAAGAAATGCTGGATGTCAAGATGGAAGATATCAAGGTGCGCCCATGTAGCTCCTCCTGCTGTCTGCCCTTCCTCCTCAGTTTGAGGCCATCCTTGAGGACTGGCCCCACATTTGTAGGGATAAGCCCTGTTCTCAAGCTTACATAACTCATTACACCTCCATACTTACTCCATGAAGTAGGGGCCTATGCTCTTTTTGGTGAGTGGAAGAGACGCAGGATGACCACAGCAGCTTGCAACAAGCAGTCAGTATACCCATTCCCCACTAACAACATACTTGGAGCAGGTCGTTATGTGAAAATGGGTGTTAGGAGTACATTGAGGATGACCGTATCAGCTCACAGAATGGAGAATAACTAGGCCATGAAAGAGCTCAAATGGCATCTGTCTCAACTGCCAGAGCCCTGAGAATGTCTCAGCCAAGTGACAACAGAGCCAGAAGTGAGCCCGTCACCTCACATCTCCACATTCATTACTGCTAAACATGTCACCAATGTGCCAAAGAACTGGATGTATATAATTTTACTGTTGTTGTAAATGTGGGTGAGGACTAACTGGCTCAATGACTGTCCCGTGAAGCTTTACTAAAATATATGCTTTACAATTGTCATTGAATTCTCAGAGCAATTCTGAGGTTTAGAGATGACATACATTGAAGTCCAGAGAGGTCATTGAACTTGCTCATGGTCAAAATGTAGAGGGAGTAATTCAGACCCAATAGTAACCTTCCTGTCCCCCTACCCACCCACCCCCAGTCACTTGTTCTCGGTTTCTTCTCCCAGGAATCCATCGAGTCCATGAGGACCCGGCTAGAGCGCAGCATCCAGATGCTGACACTGCTGCGGGCCTTTGAGGCACGTGACCGAAATCTACAGGAGGGGAACCTGGAGCGTGTCAACTTCTGGTCTGCCGTCAATGTGGCCGTGCTGCTGCTGGTGGCCGTGCTGCAGGTCTGCACGCTCAAGCGCTTCTTCCAGGACAAGCGTCCTATGCCCACGTAGCCCCTGCCCCAGGACAAAGACCAGGGGAGAGGAGTGTGTGGAGCGTGGGATTTGGGAGTCCCACTGGAGGGCAGTCCACTGTGCTCCTCCTCACTTCCAGGGCTGGGCAGGGACCGCCCACACTGACTTGTGTGGCCTCTTCTGCCTTGGTACCTTGTCAATGTGCCTTAGCCCAAGTCTTCCAGCCTGCCCAGTGCTGTCTGTGAGGGGCAGGGCCTAGGAAGTCAACTCTTCCCCTTCCTTTCCCCACCTGGGGCTGGGCTCTCGGAGCCAGGCTGCAGTGAGAGGGGCCTGCTTTCCCGTTGTCTCCCCATCCGAGGTTGGCTGCTGATGCTGGGGTGGCTCCCAGGTGGACGGAGCCTGATCGAGACTCTGCTGCAGCATTCTTGCCAGGAAGGTCACTTTATTAGGCAGCAAGGGGCCTGCCCCTCAGCCCAGCAGGATTAGCTAGGGGTTAAGGTCCAGTAACAGTGTTCCAGGAGGGGGCCGGAAGTCCCTCCCCTTCCCTCTGCCGAGTCTGCACAGGAGCCTCAAGGAGCCAAGGAGCCCGTCTGTGTCCCGTGTGTGCCGGGGTCAATAAATTATGCTCACAAATCCTAGAGCCTGGTGATTGGGACTCAGGGATACCAGCCAGGACAGACCTGCTCCTGAGATCTGGGACGACCAGGAGCCGGGTCTCCCACGAAGCTCAGAAGAAAGGTCGGGCGGGAGCCGATGGAGGTGGTCGCCTGGGCACAAAAGAAACCAGAAAACAAAGTTTGATTGTGTCTCTGGCTGAGCCAGCAGGCCTGGGTCCTTGAGGGGGCAAAAAAGGGAACACAAAGCTCTGCGGAGGCAGGGAGGGGGCCTAGTGATGGTGGCATTTAGGTGGAGGGCAAGAATTCCCTCCTTCCTCAGCCATTCAGATGCCAACCAAGATCATCACATCCCAAGCCTTACAGCAGTGGGGGGGTGGGCGGGGGAGGGTGCCCAAGACAGGGCATGGTGTTTGTGTGTGCACCTCGACCCCCAGGTGTAAAAGGAAAGTCAAAACCCCACCTTTCCTCTCTGGAAGAAGGCCCTCCACCCCCATGAGGCAGCTTGAAGTAGGGTGATGGCCATGGTGGGAAGGCCTGCTACATCACCAGCTTCCCAGTCGCCTCAGACTGAACATCCACACAAGAGGCCCACACAATAGCCGCCAGGAGCGTCTTCCCTTTATTTTAGTTTATTAACAGGATACAGAGTGCAGGCACTTACAGTGGTCCAACTTAGCGAGGGGCAGGCCAAGTCTGCTCAGAGAGGCCTCTTGGGACCCACCCTGGGAGGCAGGCCTAGGTGGGACCCAGAGAGACCGCCCCCCTCCACAAGGCCTCCCCCAACCACACAGCCTGAGCCCACACCATCCTGGGAGACCCAGGAAGTGGGGTGCTGGGAGAGGGGAGAGCAAGGCCAGCTAGGCTGGCGAAGGCACCTCTGGTAGCCAAGGCTAGGCCAGGCTCACGTCGTGTGGTTAATATGGACGAGGAAGAAACATGTACAACTTGGGCCTGCAGGAGGTGCTGGGCTGGCAGGACCTTGCCCTTGTGAAAGCGGACCTCCCTAAGCCCCCAAGAGGTCAGTGGGGCAGGTGCCCTCAGAGCCCCTGCAGATAAGCATCCAGCCAGGCTCCCTCATGCCAGCCTGGACCCCTCCCTCCCTCAAGACGGCACACGGGGGCGGGAGGCAGCTCCCTCCTCTGCTCCCCTGAGGCCCACCTCCCAAAGTGCAACACCCTAGCTTCCCCCACCCTGGGCTTCAGGGCCTCTTCATTCAGTGTCAGTGTCCAGTGGGGACTGGGGCCAGGCCAGCCCGACTGGAACTGGGCCCCACAGAGCAGGAGGACCCAGGGCAGTGGAGGGGCCCAGACCACCGGAGCTCTGCATGGCGGGTGGGTGTGCGAGGCCCCTAAGAACATGCCCCCAGAAGCCTAGTCGAGCAGGGAAGGCTCGGCTGGGCGAATAATGGTGGGCCGGCTGGGCGCAGCAGGGGGTCTTCTGCTGTAAAGAGAATAGAGACAGATTGGAGAAAGGGAAAGCGCAATGAGGCCGGAAGCAGGAAAACGCAGTGGACCCAGGCCTGTCACCCGCACTGAGGTGCCACCCAGCTGCCCTGACTCCATGCAGGGCTTACCAGTTGCTAGGGCGCCTGGCTCTAGCACTGGGGAAGGCTTCAGAGTTGCTCAGACCCAGGCATTGGTCCCCATACTATTACCCAATTACCTACACACTGTGTGACCCTAGGAGAGTCCCCTGGCCCACAATGACTGGAATCAGCTTGTGCTCCATAAGGAAACAGGTTAAAACCCAGGGGGCCCCCAAGCTTCCTGGAACCCCAGGAGTCGGTCAGCCCTGACCACCTTTCACCGGCTCTGACTCTGGGGAATGACTTGCCCTCTCTGCCTCCATTTCCCCATTAGCCAAATGGGACGATGACAGTGGGGGGCTGGGTCCTGACTTACCTGGGCACTCCAGGAGGGATGCCAGGTGGGATCCGAGCTGGCCTTGATGGGATCTGAGGTGGGGCCAAGAAGGGATCATTGTTGGCAAACACGCTCTGGGGGCCGGGCCGGGATGGGATGGGGGGTGCTGTAAAGGTTGCTGGCCCCACTGGTGTGGGCATCAGGGGGGGCCCTGGAGTGGGGCCTCTCACTGCTGGGGGCCGGCCCGGCGGGTGCATGTTGGTCACGGGTCGGCGCTGTGGAGTGGGGCTGTGGAGGGAGGAGAGGGGGGATGAGCTGGAGAAGGGGGTGAGCAAGGGAGGCGGAAGTCGGTTGCACTGCTGTTGTGGTACCTTCTAGGTTTCTCTAACTTTCCTCACTACCTACCCTGTCCCCAGAGAGTCACCCCCACTTAGGTCCTGTTTGGGGTGGTAGGATGCCCTGGTTAGACCCTCCCACCACCATTCTTGGTTCAGCACCAGCCAGGTCTCAGGTCATCTGGCTGAACCAGATGACTTGAGGGCACAAGGCTTTACTTCCTGTTCCTCCCACTTTGCTGAGGAGACCTAGCACCTTCAGTCTATCTGCTTGCTCCTTTGGGCCTAGATGGGAATCACTCCCACTGTGACTGAATCCGAGCCCTACCATCCTGAGTAGCTCTCCTGGACCCTATCCACCCTCAGCTGGTGACCCTAATGGGGTCGGGGACCTGTGGCTGCTGGTGTTCTGGAGCCAGGTGTCGTCCACGGGTGGGGGCACGGGTGTAGACACAGTGCTGGTACTGATGTCTCCAATGATGGTGAGCGCCTCTTTGAGGGCGTGGTACATGCGCAGCATGTCGTCTCGCCGCTGGGCCTGCTCAGCCGACTCCTCCATGAGGCTGCTCTGGTCCGCTGACGAGTATAGGTAGGCCAGCAGCTCATGGTGGATGAAGGCCTTTGTCTGGGGAAAAGGGCAAGAAGGGTCAGCCTGGTGTGTGGGGCCAGCTGGTCACTGACTGGCAGAGAAAGCAGCCAGTATACCCGCTGAGGCTTTCATTGTCTTACTTTACTTCCGAACGTCAGGGGGTCTGCCACCCAGACTAAGTCCCTCCAGGGTGCTGCACAAGCTCCTGTGAAACTCCATCTTAGCAGCTCATCTCTTCCTTTGCTATCTTGTCTTCTAACTAGCTTTTTCTGAAAATAATTGGCTTCTAGTCATTCATTGTACACTCTGGCCCTTCCTATGGGATACAGAAGTTTTCAGTCCTTTTTGGTGTTTCCAGGTACACAGTTCACCTGCAAACAGGAATCATTTCTCCTATTTCTTTTTTTTGGAATGTTCACACCTCTAAATTGTGGTTCTTATCTAACTGCCTTGGCTAGTGACTCCAGAATATAACTAAAACGACTCCTAATAACTGCCTTGTTCGGGACTCCGAGGATGTTTCCAAAGCTTCCTGAATAAGGTCAAGACACACTTTGATAGTGAACTAGAGATCCCCACTGATCACAATCACAGGTTTCATGGCATTTCCCGTTGGAACGCCTCAGCTACAAGTGTCCTGTCCAGAGCACATGCTGTGGTATGTGTGCACAGCTAGGACCCTCTGACCTAGCTGAGAGAGCCAGTTGACCACAACTCCAACCAAGGAAGAGAAAGATGCTTGATACTGAGAACAATTTGACAAATGAAACTGTGGCCTATTAATGCGGAGACTCAAAATTCCAAGCGGAAAGGAAGGGTTCTTCACAGCAAGGAACAACGGTGTGGCGCTGTGGGTTAATGCGCTGGACTGCTAAGTCGGTTTGAGTCGCAAGGTTGGTGGTTCAACCTCACAAGTCACTCCTTGGAAACCCTACACAGGGTCACTGTGGGTCGGAACCGGTTCAACGGCACTTAACAACTGGGTTGGTGGGAATAAGAAATTAGGCTATCAAAAATGGGGGGCTAAAAAAAAACCCATTAAGTGCTGATTTCCGGTATGTATGGGATGAGAGGTGGGGAGGGAGGGCGGAGAAGAAAGATCACAGAGTAGGGAAAAAAAAACATTTTTTTAAATGGGGGGCTACAAAGGAATCAAGTGGCTGGCTTACAAGCTTTCATAAGTGTGCTTAGTTGCAGAATGAGGGGGAAAAAAGAAACATAAGAGAGCAAAATGCATAAGAAAATAAGGCCATTCAATATGCTGTCTAAAAGAGACATATCAAAAAAAATGGAGAGAGCCTAATACCCATCAACAGAAAAAGACAAACATTGTATGAGACCAATGTTGTAAAAAGTTAAAAAAACAAAACAAAGCTTTTCTTGATAAAGTAAACTACGATGGTTACAGAGGGGTGGGGAGGGAAATTATTCACAGGCTAGAGGGTAGACACATATTAACACGGGTGGCAGGGCAGGCACTATACAAGAGGGAGGTTGGGGGTGGTGGTTTGTGTTGTGGAGTCGGTTCCAACTTATAGTGACCTCTACAGGGTTTCCGAGGCTGTAAATGTTTACGGGAGCAGAAAGCCTCATCTTTCTCCCACGGAGCAGCTGGTAGTTTAAAACCGCTGACCTT